GCAGCAGCAGCAGCAGCAACAGCAGCAGCAACAGCAGCAGCAGCAACAGCAACAGCAACAGCAGAAGCAGCAGCAGAACATACACGTATCAGAAGAGCCGTAGAGCGCCAGCTGTTGTAATGTAATGATAGGGCGAGGAGACAGTTTGTTGCTGCTGCTGCTAACTCAGCAACAGGTTTTTCTGCAGCAGCAACAGAGTCAAAACAAACCTCAGCAAGAAGCCCTTCTTCTGCTGCTGCTCGCGTGTCTTCTACCAGCAGCTGCACGTCTCCTGCTGCTGCAGCAGCAGCAGCAGCGGCAGCAGCTGCTGCTGCTGCTGGGCCGAGGGCAGCTGCAGGCTGCAGCCGCAAACTTATTGACTCTGAGGGGAGACAGCTGTCTCCTACAACTTGCGCCATGCTGTCTGTTGCTTCCTGCTGCGGCTGCTGCTGCTGCTGCTGCTGCTGCTGTTGCTGCTGCTGCTGCTGTTGCTGCTGCTGATCCTCGGCAGCGTCTGCTGCTGCTGCTGCCGCTTCATGTTTTCTTCCTCCCATTGCTTTGAATTGGTGCTGTGCATGCATCGAAGCCCTCCCCTGTAGCTGCAGTAGCTGTTGCTGTTGCTGCTGCTGCTGCTGCTGCCGATACCTGGGGCTGGCGCACTCGTAGACATTCAAATGAGGGGAGGTGCCCCTGGGTCGCCTTTGCTGCTGCTGCTGCTGCTGCTGCTGCAGTGTCTCTGTTTGCTGCACTTTTGCTGCCTCTTGCTGCTGATCTCTCTTCTGTCTCTGTGGAGCAGAGACAGCCCCGATATACGCTGCACTCACGTATGCTGCTGCTGGCGCTGGCACCTGGCCACAGCAGCAGCAGCAGCAGCAGCAGCAGCAGCAGCAGCAGCAGCAGCAACAGCAGCAACAGCAGCAGCAGCAACAGCAGCAGCAGCAGCGGAACAGAAGGAAACACGCATAATCCACAGCTGCGAAACGAGTGGTGGTGCTGATGCTGCTGCTGCTGCTGCTGCTGCCTGTGTTGCTGCTGCTTCCTTTGTTGCTGCTGCTGCATATGTTGTTTGTGCTACTACTGCTATGGTTGTGCTTCTGCTTATCCTTTGGCTTGTGCCGCTGCTGCTTCTTGCTTCATTGCTGATGTTGCTAATTCTTGCTTCCCTGCTGCTGCTGCTGCTGCTGCTGTTTCTTCTATCCCTGCCGCTGCTGCTGCTGCTACTGCTGTTGCTCCTGCTGCAGCTGCTAATGTTGTTGCTGCTACTGCTTATGCTGCTCCTGCTGCTGTTGCTGCTGCTTGTGTTGTTGTTGCTGCTGCTACTGCTTATTGTGCTGCTGCTTATGTTGCTGTTGTGATTGTTGCTGCTGTTGCTGCTGCTGCTGCTGCAGTTCCCACCTGTGTTTTAAGAGCATGAAGAGCAGCAGCAAGCAGCATAGAGGAGAGGCCCCTGTGGAGCTGCAGCTCTTCAGAAAGAATGCTCTCCAGCTGCAGCAGCACCTGCTGCTGCTGCTGCTGCTGTTGCTGTTGCTGTTGCTGTTGCTGTTGCTGCTTCTTGCTTTGAGGCCTTGCAGGCAAAACAGCAGCAACGCAGGCGAAGGCAGTGATAGAAAGAGGAGACACAGCAGCTGCTGCAGCGTCAGCAGCAGCAGCAGCAGCAGCAGCAGCAGCGTTGCGGGAGAGCCCCAACGTCGACTCAACGGAAGCTAAAGGATCTGCACAAACAGCAGCAGCAGCAGCAGCAGCAGCAATAGCCACAGCGTGAACAGCAACAGAAGCAGCAACAGCAACAGCAGCAGCAGCGGCAACAGCAGCAACAGAAGCAGCAACAGGATCAGCAGCAGCAACAGCAACAGCAACAGCAGCAACAGCAAGAGTAGTAACAGCAACAACAGCAACAGCAACAGCAGCAGCAGCAGCAACAGCAGCAGCAGCAGCAGCAGTTGAATGTAATACGAGACCTTTAGAGAAGATATCATTGCAGGCTTTCCATGTGTCTGCTGCTTCCTTGAGCTGCTGCTGCGTCGCTCTTAGCTTTTTAAGAGGCAGCAGCTTGTGCGGCTTCAGACAAATGCAGAGAGGCAGCAGAAAGGAGACAGTTAATTCAATGCTGCGTCCGATTGATGCTCCCAGTGCTGCAGCACCCTGCAGCAGTTCTTCCTGTCTCTTCAATATATCTACTACCTCCTCAACTATCTCACCCCTGCTGCTGCTGCTGCTGCTGCTGCTGCTGCTGCTGCTGCTG